ACAGCCCCCAGGTGGACTCAGTCTACCCAGGCTTCCCGCCAGAAGCCCATGTGCCCCCTGGGTCTGCATCTCTCACTCGTTACACACGCTTACCCAGCAGTTCACCCTCCCACCGGCCTGAGCGAGCGGCTCCTTCCGCACCCCCATCCTCCTGCATCTCCATCTCTGCTCTGCGCGCCCGCACTGCCCTCCCCGGCTCCAGGTCGCCCCACACCCACTCCCCGCATCTCATCCCCGGCTCCTAGCTCAGAGCCCTGCGGCCACCCCGTCTCACACCGGGACGGCGGAGCTCCGGAACTGCAGCCTCACACCAGTCCGGTCTGTCTCTCCTGTCGCTGCACCGAGCCCCGGGTCTCCGCAGCGCTGGCTGCTCCTGGCGTGGCTCTGGGAATGGCCTTCGTGTCGCCTTCCCTGGCAAACAGCCAGCGCTCTGCAGGCTCCAGTGAGAGACCCTCCCCTGCGGGCTCCACCTGCCCCGGTCCAGGCGGAACTGAAAGCAAAGCCCAGCCCTGGCTGGTGTGGTTGGAGGCTCAGCCTACAGACCGAAGGGCCTGGCTTCGGTTCTTGGTCAAGCCATGTACTTGGGTTGCAGGTCCGATCCCCAGCCCCAGCTGGGGAGCATTTGGGACGCAATCGGTGTGTCTCTCTCACATCAATGTTTCTCTCTCTCTCTCTCCCTCTCTCACCCCCTCCCTAAAAAAAAAAAATGGCAAAAATATCCTCAGGTGAGGATTAACAAAAATAAAATAAAATAAGATAAAGCAAAGGCTAATCCCAGAAGGCTGCCCTGTGCCGTCGGACCTGCCGCTGCTTCTGCAGGGTTTCAGGCTTGCTGCCTGCAGATCTCTCTTCCCCTAGCTGACTGCCGGACACTTGAGAGCAAGTCCCGCGTGTGACTCACCCGCAGCTCAGACCGGGGACGGAACAGCCCAAGTCGCTCCCTGTGGTTCGAACATGAGGAAAAGAATGCAAACAAAGCCCGAGCCGTCATAGGTAGCGATGCGTGTCCTCACGCTGAAGGACAAACAGCCGCGGTCCCCTTACGTAACTGTTTATCCCAGCTCAGGGCCACGTGCGGGCGCAGGAGAAGCGGGTGCTGGTGGGAGCATGTCGGGCTGTGGACAAGGCCTTCCCCTCCAACCGCCAGGCCCCGAGACTGCAATTCAAGGTCTCGCTCATGAGACGTTCCAGATGTCGTCGTCGCAAAGGACGCCTGGGCCGTGGGGCTTCCTGGGAGAGCCTGCCAGAACAGGACGCAGTGCGGAACCAGAGGGAAGCCTCCCCTCCCCGCTCTGAGCGCGCTGCCGGCACCGGCAGGAGGGAAGTGGGTTTTAAACACACGCAGTGCACAGAGGCCTCGGCAGTAACAGCCAGGCTGATATTCCACCCTGGAGGCTCCCAGACCGGTGTCCACCCCAGCCCTCCGCCTCCTGCCGGCCTGGGGCACAGCTCCCGGCCCCCGGCCCCGGCCCCCGCCACCTCTCCTGCTCCCGGCAGCCCGGGGAGCTTTCTGGACACCTGAATGGAGTGTGTCTACCTAAATGCGTAGGAAGAACATTGGCTTTAATGGTTCCGACGAAGCGAGAACTTCAATCAAACTGGTTATCTGACATGAGGGGGTGGGCCTGGATCCGGGCCCGAATCCCAACTGCCCTGCCTACACTGGGGCCAGAGGGCAGACCCCCCTCAACTGCTGTGCAAAGAGCCGACTGCTGCGATTTTCTGAGAAAGGGCAACCTTTTGGGGGGAAAGCGAGAAAGAAGGTGTGCGCAGGCGCGATGCCACGTGGGACCGGCCCCTATGACGAGCCTCCTCCACCCGCGTGTGCTCACCGTTCCAGAATAAACCTGTCGAAATGCACTGAGACCAAAGCTGCTTCTCATCACAACTTCAAATGTTCACAAAGGACAGAAGGAGACAAAGCCAAAAGCGTTCCGCGGCGATCTGAGCGGCCCCGCCCAGTTTTCTTGTACTGACAGGGAAACAGGACACGGGGCAGCCATGTTCTAGAACCGTCAACTTTTCTCAGAGCGGGTGCCTGTGAGTAAACCTCCCTCTGAGGAAGCCCATGTCTGCTGTGCCAGGTCTCAATTCAAACAGAGCCGCAAACACGACGTTCAAGGCAAGCCACAGGGCGCACGAAGGCCACGCGATCCCCCCGGCGGGGCCTTCAACTGCTGAGTGTCCCTGACACTCTGACCCCACTGCCCATTCCAGGGCCGGGGTCCCAGCGTGGGGTGCTGCCCTTCAACACCCACAGTCACCCAGGTAAGAGGAGCGCTGGCTGCCACGCCTGTCACTGACCTCCAGACACAATCTGCGGGTCCCAGAGCTGAGATCAAAGCAAACACAAGACAGTATTTTCTTTCTAAACAGGGCGGGACCCTTCATCGCTGCTGACACGGCCTCTACAAACATTTCAGAACGCGTGGAGCGCTGGCAGGGCCCTGAGGAAGGGAGCGCGATGGGGCTCGGCCGAGTGTGTGACACAGCGCAACTCTGACACTAAATATCTGAAGCCAGAAATATATGAAGACAGCCAAAAGTCAGGAATGTGTTCGGGGGCGGGGCTGCAAATGCCTGCCTTTCTCTTCACCTAGGTGTTCTGCAAGAGCCAGGGGCTTGCTCAGCAATCCATAGATCTCCACAGATCGCCCGAGGGATGGAGCGAGGCCCAGATTGGTGCTGACTGGGCGACTGAGAAGCCTCCGGGACAGGCGGCCAACCGACCGAGAGTCTAGACCCGGGACGGGGGACCTGGAAGTCCTCCCCAGGGACCACCCTGAGGAACCCAGTCCCTGGTCCTGTCCCTCCCTGGCATTCAGTGCTCTCCTAAGGCCAGAACTCACAGGCGGCGAGGCAGAGGCGGGAGGTGACTGAGGGAGGGCTCTGGGGCAAGAAGGCCTCAGTGTGAACCCTGGTTCCGCCTCGTCCCAGCTGCCGGGAACTCACTTTACTTCTCCGACCTCCGTTTCCCCAGACATCACGGGAGCACCCGCTTCCTGTGCCTGGTGCAAGGGTTAAAAGGACCGAGAGGACAGTCGAGTCCATCTCTCAGAACCAGGCCAGTCTTTTCTCTAAAACAAGGACATTTCTTGAACAAAACTGACCGCACTTATTTGACATGGGTCTTTACCACTCTCTGTCAAAAGCCACAGCTTGTATTTTTTAGACTTTGCCCCTGAAACGTTGGTCTTTTTATGTGACTCTAACTGAACGACGCTGGCCCGCCTACTCCCGCTGCTGGTTTTTTGTTTTTTTCCAGGAGCATCCTGTTTTAAGCGAATACAGAACTAACAGGCAAGTCAAGTGGTATTTATATATTTTTTTCCAAAACAAATCTCCCTGCCCTAATCATCGTGTTCGAAGGGATAACAGGAGGAGCTGGGGGTGTTTCTGGAGAAAAGGGATGAGTTAAGGTGCCCCGAGAGTTTAATGTCACTCAGGACAGGGTCCGGGCAGCAGAATGGGAGGCGCAACCCCCTCCCGGCCCCTGTGGCTGGGGATTCAGGAGCCGGAAGGACCAGACCCTGGGGTGGGGGGGAAGGGCCCCCCCTGGCGCAGCCCAGCAGGGAGTAGACAACCATCCCTCTCGCAGGAGCCCAGCCCTCAGCGAGCAGAGGAGCCCACGGTTATGGAAATCACCCCCAGCTCCTGTTCCCACATTTTGCAAGAGGCTTCAAACTCCAGATGTTCCCAAAGAGCCCTTTCCGTCGCCAGCTAATCTTTCCGGAGTCTGTACCAATCGCTCTCCTCTGTGCCAAGATTGCCCGCACCTGGCAGCCGATCCCCGCACCTGGCAGCCGGGCAGAATCACCTGAGGAGCTCCGAGCAACCCCGCCGCCGTCTCACCCCGGACAGACGGAGGAAGCCCGCCTGTCTGGGGGTGGGAGGCAGGCTTCGGGTTTTATCTGCTTTGCTTTGGTCTAAAATCCCGAGGGATTCTCATTTGCAACCAAGTGCGGCAACCGAAGCTTTAGCCCAACTAACGCGCTCGGCCCCAGCCCCCACTCCCCGCGCCAATGACCTCAGCGGCAAGCAGGGACCTGACTCCTGCAACCGGCTGCGCGATGTTGAAATCGCGCAATTAAACCTTCCGAGCATGTTTCTCGTTTCTCACGTTGAGGGGGGGATGGCCGGCAGCCACCCACAGGGCCAGACCCGCTCAGGTTCGCGGTGGACGCTGGGCCCACGGGAGCCACAGACACCCATCCGTTTTGGCCAAAAATTAACACGAGTATTTTGGTTGGCTCAATGTCAGAATCTTCCGAAAGCGAAAAGAAACCTCCCCGAGAGAAACTCGGGATCCCGAGGAGGAAAGTTTGCTAAGAAAAAAAAAAGGCGGGGACCCGATCCCCAGGAAATTGGGCACCAGGACCCAGCGGTCCGCCCGGCTGGTCGCAGCCCCCCGGCTCCACCACGAACCCAGAGCCGCGACCGAGGCCCGCGGGGTCCCCAGAAGCGACCACTGCACCAGACCCCACGGGCCCGGGGGACGCGGGAGACCTGGAGGGAACTCGGGGGTCTGCGCTCCCCACTTTTGACGGAAGAGGACACCACGTCCCCCCCAGGCAGCCACTGGGAGTCAGCGACCGAGACCCACACTCGGCCTCCCGGCCCGGCTGCAGCTGCACCCCGGAAAGGGACCCGCCCGCGAGCCGGTTCCGGGGGGACGGCGCGGTGCAGGGAGGCCCCGGGGTCCCCGAGGGGAGGCGCACACGCACTCCCGCCGCCCTTCCCGAGGCCCCGGGACCTGGGACGCACGTGCCGGGACGCCCGCCGCCCCGTGCGCGAGGGCAGGAAAGTAAGAAAGTTGCGAGCGCTTCGGGGAGTCCCGATCCCCGCAGCCCGCGCCCTGGTCCCCGCAGCCCGCGCCCGCCGTCCCCTCCTCCGGCCGCCGCGGGCTCGCCCGGCGCCGACACGCAGCGGCACGTCCCCCGCGGTCCCGGCCGAGGCGCCCGTCCCGGGCAGCGCAGCGCGGGCGGCGGGCACGCCCTTACCTTTCTTTTCCTCCAGCGCCGGGCGCGCCGGGAACTGCGCCGCCAGGAGCACCAGGAGCGCGGCTCCCGCCGTCCGGGAGGGTCGCATCGCCGCCGGGAGCCCGCAACGAGTCCGGGAGGGAAGCGGCGGCCGTGCGCTCCGGCGGCGGCGGCGGCGGCGGCGAGGCGAGGGCTCCGGGGTGGCCTGTGGTCCGGCGGGGAGGCGGCGGCCGCGGGCTGCTCGGGACTCGCCGGGGACGCGGTCCGCCCTGGCCGGGGTGTGCGCACCGAGCGGGGGGCGGAGGCTGCTGCGCCCGCGCCGGGGCTGCCCGGACGTCTAGCGCGCGGGGCGGGGGCGCGGGAGGCTGGGCCGGGAGGAGGAGGGACCAGCCGAGGAGGAGGGATCGCGGAGCCCAAGGCGAGGCGGAGGGAGGAGGACCCAGCGGCGGACTTGGCGGCCCGCAGCCGCACGGAGGTGGCGGACGGAGGTGGCCCCGCGGGCCCGGGCGCTCGGAGAAGGGCGGCGGGAGGGGGCGGCGCGCGGGAGCCCAGCGGGCGCCCTACTTAGTCTCCGAGAGGGCGTTCCCTGCCCTGTGGGCCAGGACTCGGCCTGGGAACTAGGTGACCCAGCCTGCGTGCAGCCAAATGGGTGCCAGGGTCTCCGTGTCCCCCTCTCCCTTCCACCTGCTGAGCAAACTGGGACCAGCTCCCTGTGAGCTGGCCCAGCCGGGGCCCCAGGCCGGGCAATGGCATGGATGGGGCAGCGCCCCTTTATCTCGCCCATCGCCTGCGCTGAGCCGAGCCGGGGGCCTCGTGGGGACAGAGGACCGCCTGGCAGCCACGTTGTCCCGCGCTGGGCGGGGGGACAGGAGTGCCCGGTGGCTGAGTTGGAGCTCTCAAGTCCGAAGGGCCCTTTACGTCCCGCCAAGCATCTGCGACATCGTCTGAACCCGGACAGCCCGCTCCTGGCCCGGAGCCGGGCCTGCGAAGTGTTAAGTGAATGAATGCAGGAGGCCCCGAGCCCACAGCCCTCAGAGGCCAGCACCAGCCACAGTGCTTGAGAGCAAATGCCTGTGGTCAGTTCTTGCGCAAAAGTCAAGCGCTGCGAATACGGGCTGGACACCAACCCCAGTGGGGTGCTTTTCCAGGAGAGCCACCCGAGGCAGCCGCATGGGGCCAGGCAGGAGGGCCCACCTGGGCAGCTCCTGAGGATGGGCCAGAGGAATGAAGCTCCTGGGCTGCACCATCAACCTGGGCTGTGCCATGTCTGCAACACGCTCCTTCCCCACAGGACAGGTGTCCTCGAACCCCATTCTGCACCCAGATCCCAGCCGCCCTCACCAAAACCCCTGCCTGCACCCCATGGCACTGGGCCCACCCCAGGGATGGAGAAATGGTCATCCCCAATCCCCCTGGACACTGATGTGAAGTTTGGTTCCTCCCTGAACTGGTGACATGGGAGCGACACTCCTGACTTGGTACTCTTCGGCGGTTAAGTGGAGTGTCCGGATGGGAGTGGACGGATAACCGTGGAGCTTGTTAAGTACAAAACCGTGGAAGCGGGCCTCCACATACTTCAGCCCCGTCTTCGCAAGGGGCATCTGACCACCTGTTTCTCTGGCCTTGGAGGTCACAGCGAGAAGGGACAAGGAAAAACATCAAAGCCTGCCTTTCAGAATTTAAAAACGGATCTTGGGTAAACTGGGGGCCGCCTCCACGTGGGATGTGGTGCCTCCAAGTGGGACGGGGCTCCCCATCCTGAGAGAGGGGTTCCTGCAGGGGCGTCGGGGACCAGGGGAGGCGGAGTCAGGGATGGGACTAGGTCCCTTCCGACCCTACAATTTCGCAGGAACATGCGTTTCTAAAACAGGCTTCCAGTTGGATGGACATGCACCCGACGGCTCCTCTGAAGATATTTTGAGACACAGAACTGTGCTGACTGCCCCCCCTCCCCGCCCCCACCCCCGGGACAGCAAGGAAGTTGGGGACCCGGGGCGGGCGGGGGGGGGGGGAGGCTTATTGTTTTACCGTCTGTCCTCTCAGACCACTGTGGGCAGCAGCACCTGCTCCTCTAAGGGAAGGGCCGTGGCTCCGGGCCCCCTGCTGAGCTCCTGGCACTCCGGTGTGGGCTTCCTTGGTTTCCTCGGCCACACGCTCTCTCCCGTGGAGTCTGGTTATTCGTGGGGCCGTGTGGGCAGCGCCTGGAGGAGGCCGTGTCTTTTTCAGGGACCGCGAGCTGGCACAGCGGCTGACGCACCCACCTGTCATTAGCGCCCTCGTTAGTATTGTGTGTCGTTGGGATTCTCGGCATCTCCAGGGCTTGGGGTCGGGAGGTGCTAAGAAGCAGAGCCGCATTTTTGGATGCTGGGTTCTGGCTCTGTCGTTTGCTCATTCCTTTGCACGGGCGTCTTGTAGGAAGTTTCTGGACCCTGCACAGTGCTTTGCCCGTGTGAAGGTTTAAAACTGAGATGAAGCCTGGCCCGCCTGGCTCAGGGGTTGAGCATCAAGCTCTGAACCAGGAGGTCATGGTTCGATTCCGGTCAAGGGCACAGGCCTGGGTTGTGGGCTCGATCCCCAGTAGGGGCGTGCAGGAGGCAGCCGATCTGTGATTCTCTCTCATCATGGATGTTTCTCTCTCTCTCTCCCTCTCCCTCCCTCTCTGAAATCAATACACATATATTTTTAAAACAATAAACAAAAGGGAGATGAACTTTGCCTAGGCGTCACTACCCGTCTCAGGGAGAGTTCCAGCTGGACACGTGAGCCCCGGGCGGCAGCCGGTGGCCCGCAGAGCACGCTCAGGGTGCCGGTGTGGTTTTCTGAGGCCCCTTCAATATTTGTTCTACTTGAACTTTTGGCCACATTTTTAAAAATCAAGTGATTTCCATATTTAAAATGTGAACTCTCTGTTTCTCTTGAAAAACATGGTGACGTGCTGGCCAGTGGGGTCTGCTTTCGTGGGGGAGGGGCTTTGATAACTGTCCCCTTGGGAAAGAGTGAAGTTGGCAGCTCACTCAACCCACCAAACCTGCTTTGCCAGTCCAGGGCTGCTGCTGAGGCTGGCATTTCAGCCTGCTGCCCCGCCCTTCCTGGTTCAGCCATGCTCAGCCTCTTTCCCTCTTTACAGCTCCCTTCCCTCCTACCCTTATCTTCCTTTCTCCCTCCAGCTCCTTCTGGCTTATCGTGTGTGTGTGTGTGTGTGTGTGTGTGTGTGTATGCGTCTCTGTGTGTGTGGCTGTATATGAGGCTGTGTGTGCGCGTGTGTATGAGTATGTGTGCACGCACACATGCGTATCTGTATTTGTTGATACATTTTTGTCCAGAGGTCAACTCATAATACTTTATATACCACACTAAATCTCCCTTTAAATTTGCATAATTCAAATATGGAATAATATAAAATTCACAGCTCATACTGATACCGTATCATTGTTGTTGACTATATATATATACATATATATGAATATAAATAATCATATATAAATGATATACATAAATCATATGAATATATGTATATATATAAATCAGGAGCAGAGAGTGGTGGGTTACGGGGTTGGCGGGACTAAGTATCATCGTTTATCTTGCAGATCAGCAAGCTTTGCCTGGCTTAATGGTCGATATAAACTGTAACAGATGATGGAACGTGAGCTTTGCTAGGGAACAAGTGCGGAGGCATTCTGAGGATTCTTAGCTGCTTGCAGCACAATTATTATAATTCTGCCTCCCCGCTGTAATGGAGGCTACGCTGCGAGGACCCACGGCCCAGCGTATGTTCTCCAACCAGGACCCAGGCCCTTCGCCCCGGAGAGGCCACGGGCCACGGCAGCGTTATCACGGAGGACACCAGGCAGGGAGCGTGTTCGGAACCTTAAATGTTCTCTGTGTTTCAGCTGAGGCGTTTTCCCATTAAAACATAAACTGACGCTGTGTATAAAGAATTCACACTCACACACACACTCACACACACACACACACACACACACACGCTCACACACACATGCACCCACTGTACACACACTCACACACACACTCATACACACTATACACACACTCATACACGCACACTCATACACACTCATACACATTCATACACACACATACACACACTCATACAAACACTCAGACACACACACTCAGACACACACGCTTATACACACACATACACACACGCACAAACTCACACACACATACACACATACATTATACACACTCATACACACACACTCATATACACATACACACACTATACACACACATACACACACTCATACACACTCACACACACTCATACACACACTACACACACTCATACACACATACACGCTCATACACACATACACACACTATACACACACTCATACATACACATATACACACTCATACACACACTACATACACTATACACACTCGTACTCACACATACACACACTCATACACACTCATACACACACTCATACACACACTATACACACACTCATACACACATACACACACTATACACACACTCAGACACACACTCAGACACACACACACACACACACACACACACACATTTAAAGGGACAGAGGTACCCAAATGAACAGAGATCTAAAAACCGCCATGAACTCAGGGTGACCTTGAGTACGTTTTATACAGTTCCAGTCTTTCCAACTGAAAGCGCTGGTGTGTTCTCTGTGACTGCCAGGAGTGGCTGCTCCTCGGACAGCAACACCCTGAACCCACACAGGTAAGCACTCCGTGTGCTGGGCCTGGGAGCCGGCTGTAGCGACAACGTTCTTTCTCTTCCCGGGAGGTTGTCTAAGGAGACAGAGCCGCAAGCCCAGCTCACGGCTCAGCCCCGGGCTCTCGGCAAGTCCTTCGTCAGCCTCACGGTCACGGAACCATCAAAACATACAATGAATCACGCCACAGAGAGAAGCCCCTTGGCCTCCCACCCACAGGTCAACAGCCATTCCCCCGGGTCGGGTGAGGTGTCCAATCCTCAGTGCTGAGGCCCTCCTGGCTCCTTACCTTCTAAAGAGCTGCTGTTTGCTGTGGCAGCTGCAAGAAGAAAAGGGCAGTGAATGGCCACGGCGCTGGCGCGGCCGCCCGTGCCCACGCGGCCTGCAGATGCTCGGCGAATAGGGGCCCTGACGTCTGTCAACTGGCACTTGGCTCTCTGCAGGCTCTGCACAGCCGCCCTCCCTGCGCACAATAGCTCCCCATCGCCTTTCTTCCCAGGGCGGTGCTCTGAGCCCTGCGTGGGGAGGGGTGGGAGAAGGTGCTGATTTCAACAGAGACTGGGGTCTCCGAGCAGCTGGGGAGGCGCACTGGGGTTTGGAGGCCACGTGCAGAGCTTGGTGGGCGGAGGCCCCCACTGCTCTGCGGGCCTCTGTGGGGACCCGAGGCAGCGCTTGGGGAACCATCCTTCAGATCCCGGGCTGGACTTTTCCTTCCTCCTGAGCCTGCAGGAGCTGGCACTGGCTCTGGGCCCCAGCCGGGACCGTGCTTGGTGAGGTGCTTACCTCTGACTTTTCCAGGCCCTTCTCCGGGATTTCGCTAAGAAGGATTTGTTTGTAACTGCTTCTTTTTACTCTTTTTGACCCCACCTCCCCCCCACCCCTCGCCTGAACTCTGCTGTTTGTGTGTGTGTTTTGTGATCTCTCGCTTTTTAAATGAGGACTTGGAGGCCGGTCCAGACCTGGAGGACTGAATTTCCGACGTCACAGGAAGAGGGCGGGGAAGATGGCCCTCTCTTGCCCCTCCTTCCTGGGGACTTGGAGGCGTTGCTAAAGTGTGCGATACACAGACCTGTAACACATGAAACCTATATGTTTATGTTGACCTACGTCACCCCAATCGATTTAATAAAAAAAGAATTAAAGTGCGTTTTTCAAATCATTAGTTAGATTTCCTGCAGTGTCTTTGCCCCAGAAAAGGGAGGGCCTGAAAGTCTGCAGGGAAACTGGTGGGGAGGTGGGCAAGGGTGGGGGTGGGAGTCCTCTCCCTGTTGGAGCAGGGGTTGGAGCTCCCAGCCCCACCAAGGGGATCCTGACCCTCCCCCTTCCAGGTCATGTCCTGAGGTGACAGGGGCTGCAGGGCCTAGGCAGGGGTTCAGCTTCTGCTAGAAATTAGGGGGGGATATTACAAGATTGAACAGAGATATGATTGACTTAGGTCCTTCGTGGGCCCTCTCACAGCTGTGTCCACATTGGAATGAAGGCAGGTAAGAGGCCATTACAACAGGCTGGTGAGACGTGGGCCTGGCTTGGAGCCCTGGAGGTGGTGGGTCGGGGTCCGATTCCAGATGTACAAGGCATTGAATGTGGTGTGTGAGAGAGAGACGAGAGCGGGGATGACCTTGATCAGCATGTTGGCTGTGGCAGTCTTCATAGACACCAGTACAGGAAAGGGTATATGGAAGGGAAAAGTCAAGGGTCTGGTTTTGACTTGCTGCGTTTCATATGAAGATTGTGCACAGCTTGTTGGACTGGAGTTTGACCTTCAGGAGAGAGGTCAGGCAAGCGATAACAGCTGGGATCATCAGTGAGCAGATGCTGCTTGGAATTGAATGGGATTGCAAAGTGATTAGAAGAGTTGACATAGACAGAGAGAATAAAGACGGAAAGACAGAAGATAGGAAATCTCACCGTGATCTTGAAAACCTGCACATTTATCGTCAAAGTGGAGGAGAATCAAATGGCAAATGCGACTGAGATAGAGCAGACAGATAGGTGAGAGGAAGAGCAGGCGAGAGCTCGGGGTGGGAGGGAAGCCAGGGCTAAACAATGATTCACGAAGGAGGAAGTGAATGGTCAGATGTCAGATGCTACTGAGGAGCCAGGCACGATGAAGCATAAATGGATCTGCCAATGTCAAAGTCATTGGTGACATTAGTGAGGGCTGTTTTGGGAAAGTCTGAGGGGGGCAGGAGGAGGGGGGTGGAAGCCAGACTTAAGTGGGCTGGAGAATGACTCAGACCCTGTTTTCAAAGGACTCCTGACTTTTGATTCTTTTATAATTCCAGGCCTGCCCTTTGAACCTGGTCTCCCTGTCTTGATTCTCAGACTTGACTCAGCCCTAATCTGCATGACCTTCCTCCCTGCCTAATTAGTCCCTTTGGAACACAGCTCTTGGTTCAGGCCCGTGCAGAACCCAGACAGGGCCTGAGCTCCTCAGCAAGGAAAGATGATTGAAGCTGTACCCATTCAAGCAATGAGATGCGGGCCTCGGGTTTGCATCCACACTTGGCCACAAATTGCATACAATTGGAAAGTTGCTTAACTTCGGTTTCCTCATCAGTGAAGCGAGGACTGATCATCTACTGGACTGTGTCGTTGCGAGGATTATCCTTCCTGGTACATGATGGTTTCCCAGTCAATGGTGGTTACCAAATGTCCTGTCTTCTCAAAATACAACATCCCTTTAGTCATCTTTCTAAGGTGGATTCCTAAATCTAAATACAAGCTTCTAAAGGGATATGTCGTCACCAAGGAATGTAGCTGCTTCCCTGTTGACGTTTCTTGACTCATCCATCGTTTGCTGATTCAGCACCTTTCATGGGACAAGCACAGAGCCGGGCTTGGGGCAGTCGGTGATGAGAAGGAAGAGCATGGCGCTCAAAATTCACTGCAGCCGGCAGACAACTGTAACAAAAAAGTCAAGTCATAAAGAATGTGACTGTAAATTGCAGCAGGTGCTGGGCAGGAGACATACAGGGTGAGGAGAAGCAGAGCGGGGGGTTAGGGCTGCTTCCAGAAGAGTCCGTGGAGGAAGGTCTTTCTGAGATGTTGAGGTGTAAGCCGCCTTCTGAAGGGCATGAAGGAACAAGGTCACGCATCCTTCTTCACATTCACTGAGAGACTGGGCCGTATAACGTGGTGTGTTGGTGTCTTAGCCTCTTCACCAAATCCACACCTAGGTGACTGTGCATTTGTTAACTTCTGTGAACGTTGAGTGTTTTTATTTCTCCTTCACCGTCTTTCAGTGGATCAAGTCAACCACCTTTAAACATTTGCTGAGTCTAATCTCTGTGCGGGAGGAGAAATCTTAGGATCGTGCAGGTTAGAGACACATAAAGATGAAAACGAATTGACTCTGGAGGAGTCATGAACCAAGTCCTTAAACTCTCCCATGAACCAAGTCCTTAAACTTCACACCAGCTCATCGAGTTTCTTGGGGGCCACGTTTGCTCCTGGGTTCTTGGCGAAGCTCCTACAAGTGGGGGTGGGGGTAAGTGACTTCGGGACAAGAGAGGTGATGCTGTGCCCTCCTCACAGGTCCGACGGGCTATCTTCGTGAGTTCAGTGACCAGCTGAATCTGCTTCGTGCCCTCTGAGCCAAAGGATTAGCTGTAAACCTGGGAGGGAGCCTCGACAAACAGACCAGACTGACTCGTGCCCTCGCGGAGGTGGTGGTTCTCCGTCTGGCTACTGAAGGCTGTCACCTGTGCCACAGAATAAGCTGTCCCCTCACCAGGACTGCCACCTCGGCACTCCTCTGCACACACAGTTTAATCTGGGTTAGAACCGTGTCTGGAGTAAGAAGCAGGGCGGGAGGGCTGCCCACGTGCCTCCCACCTGCGTCAGGTTTATGGCCGCTCTCGAAGGTTGTCTTTGAAACACAGAGCTACCGTCTGTGGATTTGAATTTGAGGCTGACTAGGCCCATGGAAGAGAGACTGGGAGGAGTGTACGCGTGGCAACCTCTCTTCCAGGGTCTCCGCAGCTCCCCCGGGATGCACATCCTCTCCCCAGGAGAGCGTGGCGACGGGAGGCGAGTGAGAAGGGAAGCACGCCCTCAACCGATTTTCCGTCTTTAATGAGAAGTGGGAATTAGGCTGCGCCTGGCCCCTTTGTTGCAGTATCTTGTTCGCAGGGTAATTTTTTCTTATTCCTGGATTGTTTCCCCGACTCCAAGAAGAGCAGCCCTGATTCCGGGAACTCCACATCAGGCCGACCAGACAGACAGGGGCAAAGGATAGATTCGAGTTTGAGATTTTATTTTTGCTACTGAAACGCTCTCCTCAGTGGTACAGAGGAATTGCAATATATGTCTCCCTCTTCAGAAGATGAAGAGTTCGGGCGCAGAGAGGGCTCAAGAGTCGTAGGACGAGTTTGCAGGAAGCATCCAAAAAGGCGGTGTTCACACACTCTTTCTGTCCTTGCTTTCCAAACCAGCAGCCGCACCGAGAACCGAGAAAGAGGGGGAGGGGCTGGGAGAGCTCAGAGAGCCTCCCCCACTGGATACTAATTTTGGTGACAGTTGATTGACAGGCAGTGGGTGCTGTGGACAGCCCCAGAGAGCCACCAGGCAGCCCAGGGGCCTGGGTGACCCTGAGACGAAGTCACTGTATGACTCTGAGCAAATCACATCATTTATTCTCGGTCCCGACTTCCTCACTTTAAAAATGCAGTCGCACGCTAATAACTGTTATGGGCTCTCTTCCAACTTGGCTATGCTGCTGTGGGGGATAGAGAAGGCATTTCTAGGAGCAGCTACGTCCACAGCGGACCAGCTGAAGCCCTAAAAATCCACTTAGGCCTTTTATACGGGGCTGCATCGAGCAGGGCGGAGGGGCGGGTGGACGAGAGGCCGTGTGTGCCCGCGTGTGGCTGTTCCCCACTGCGGTCACTGTCATTGCTGTTGTGCTTATGATCTAAAGGATTATAATTGAAATGACGATGTTTCATATAAAATCATAACAATTTAGGCACAAAGTCGATGATGACTGGGAACACAGCCCCTTCACACGCAGGTAAAAGCCTGGGAAGGGATGGGATGCACTCCTGTGAAAACGTAGTTGTGTGTGGATGATGGAATTAAGGTGTGTTTTACCTATTTCTCTGCAGTTTTATGTTTTCCTTCGAGTATTAACTATTTCATGATCACTATAGTGAACTATAGCTGTTTGAACTATTTCGTACCTAAACGCAAAATGAACTTCTTTTATGTCCAACAATAATAGTGGTGAAATTATTACCGCGCGTTGGCCAATCCAACGAATCTTGAGAAATGCTTCCCACTTATACAGGAGGTTTTGACTTTCTCTGCAAAAACTTGCTTTTCACAGAACAATCTGAGGCAAAGACAGCACTCGGGTTTGCAGAAAAGTTTTCATTTAGGTTCTTGTGTGAATTCCATCGGCCCCTGTGGTAACAGGGAGAGAAAGCAGGAAAAGGCTTCGACTTAGCAGAATTTCGGAAATGTCAGGCTTTTGGAAAATAAATCCTCACGCTCAGGAGACTCAGCAGGGAAGACAATTCGCTGGAATTTCGGTGTCAGGCGTTCCACTCCCAGTTTCTTCTGTAGGACGAGGAATTGGAAAAAGGACACAGCTCTTTCTGGCGATAAAAGGCTCACTAACCCTCCCCTTGGTTTGAAATTCCTCAGCTTTTCTTGTTATTTACATTGGTTCTTATTCAACACTTCTCTCACTCTATAGTTCAGATAGAGTCAGCTCTTTGATTCTATTTTTAGTTCAAACCCTTTTTCCTGCCCCTGCCCCTGCCCCTGCCCCCACCAAAACGTGAAGATCCGATTTCAGGTCCAAGGCTTCTCGCGCCTGGTTTCTGGTGGGAAAATGTGTTCTCTCTCTCTCTCTCTCTCCTGCCCATGGGGATGGGGATGGCAGAGAAGACGCCTTTGGGGGGCAGAGGGCCTTGCTCCCAGCAGCGACGCGGCCCAGCTGGCCCCGTTCCGCCCGCGAACCTCATGGAAACTCCGTGCTGCGAGCTGGCAGCGGGCGCTGTCACCGGCTCCCACCCAGCAGGGCCTCTGGGCACTTCCAGTTGCAGCTGTTGCCCAGCGAGTGCCATGTCTGCTTCTGCGTCGACAGTTCCCATTGGCTCCTGGCGGCACGAGTCCCCCGAGGCTGTGGCTCCGGGGCTCTGGCGGGGCGCCCAGCTGCCCTCAGGGGGACACGGAGGGTCTCAGGGCTCCCGGCACTGGGACACTGGTCATGTGTGAGCTCGGGCCGCTCGCGGGGCCCCTCAGCCCGCCCCTGCCCAGAGCTGTGGCAATGGGCACCTTGTTGTCAGGCTCTTCTGATGAATATCATTCGTTCGTTTGTTCGTTCGTTCATTGATTCAACAGCTGTTCACCGAATCTCAGAAATGTGCCAGCCACTGCCAGGCAGCAGGGACTTCCAAAGGAATTTACCAACTGGCGGCGCCTCTGAAGGGAAGACTAGGACGGAAGATCCAGCGTAAAAGCGAAGCGAGCCCACCAGGAAGCCAGTTAGGCAGTGCCAGGAATGTGCCGGGTGAACCATAGAGTGCGAGAAGCAGAGCTGAGCCCCTCCGAGCCCCTCTCGGTGTGGGTGAGCCCGGTGGGAACGGGCTGGGGGAGCGAGAAGAGTGTGCTCCGGGGCCAGATGCAGGGGGCGGCCCGCGAGCTTCAGCATCGCCAGCACCGAGTTTCCAGGCACAGACATCATGGGAGCCAGAGCCGGACAGGGAGGCAGGGCCCTGTCGTGATGGGCATGGTGCGTCCTCTGCTAAGGAACTTGTATGTGTTCTCTGAGTATTGTCTCTGCAAGCGAGAGAGAAATACCGGCTCTAACTCAGAACTGAAATTCTACAAGGCAATTCCCTGGTGGTGTGGGGGGCGGCTGGAGAAGACGCCTGACATGCGTGTAGAGCAGCGGTTCTCAACCTGTGGGTCACGACCCCTTTGGGGGTCGAACGATCCTTTCACAGGGATCGCCTAAGACCATCGGAAAACACATATATAATTACATATTGTTTTTGTGATTAATCACTATGCTTTAATTATGTTCAATTTGTAACAATGAAAATACATCCTGCATCAGATATTTATATGACGATTCATAACAGTAGCAAAATTACAGTTATGAAGTAGCAACGAAAATAATGTTATGGTTGGGGGTCACCACAACATGAGGAGCTGTATTAAAGGGTCGCAGCATCAGGAAGGTTGAGAACCACTAGTGTAGAGGGTTGGGTGTATTGAGAGTGCCCGTTGGAAGTCCTGGGGAAATGTCCCGGGTGGGGCCACCTTCTTTTTTTTTTTAAATATATTTTATTGATTTTTTACAGAGAGGAAGGGAGAGAGATAGAGAGTTAGAAACATCAATGAGAGAGAAACATCGATCAGCTGCCTCCTGCACATCCCCCACTGGGGATATGCCCACAACCTAGGTACATGCCCCTGACTGGAATCGAATCTGGGACCTTTCAGTCTGCAGGCTGACGCTCTATCCACCGAGCCAAACCGGTTTCGGCAGGGCCACCTTCTTTCAGAGGGACAGGCGCTGAGGGCCAGTGGACCTGTGACACCCAGGGAGATGGGGCGTAAGCGAAGCCCAGGGCAACCATGGAGGTGGCCATGGGCATGTGAAGGCTGGCATCCGGGTGGAACATGCTTGGTCCTGAGAGTTGGATGCCCGTGCAGCCTCCCTGAGTTAGTTGGGTGGAGGTGAGTAGGGAGGTGTTGGTAGCTGAGATCCCATGTGAGATATTGAGCCATTGGACCTTGATTTTTAAATCCTATCTGCAGGTTGGTAAACATTTGGGGAACAGTTGGATTTGTGTACTGAGGTCCAGACATGGTGTACTATTCGGTGAAAGTGTTTGTCACACAGGAGAGTATTTCACTCTTCAGAGTGAACGTTTATTTCTTCCTGACAAAGAAAGTACAACTCAGAGAGGCTGAGCAATCCCCTCCCCCCCCACCTCACACCTTACACCTCACACCCGCTGCTGGTCGGGGAGAGAACCCCAGCATCTCGGATTAGCTTCCAAGTCTGTCTCCTAACTGAGAAGTCATTGAATTTCTCCTGGGAGCACAGTAGTCACTTGGGATGACGAAATTCAAATATTGTTCCTATTGAACAAACACAGCAAGTTTCTGTAATAATATTTGTATAAAAATGTGGTTTTCAGCCGCCAGTCACTTCAGGGTGAGACAGGTCCCTGATTCTGTTCCCACCCCACTCTATTTATTTTTCAAAACCATAAAAAAAATGCAAGCATATAAGTTCCAAAACACAGATGCATTCACACACACACACACACACACACACACACACACCAGGAAACACAACATGAGGTTTTCATAAACAGTACTTGGCCACGGGGTGTGTCTTCTGGATTAAGTACTCCACAAGCATCATGCCATATCGTCTTCAGAATGATATTTCTTTTCTGTGGCGTGTGGGCAATTTCGCAATTATATAATGCCCGTGCCTATTAACTTGTGAGAGTGGTTCAAACCGTATTTCATTGTCATAAAAAACGGCGTTCAGTGCCCACATGCGTGGTGTGTCATCGCGGACCCCGGGGAAGAGCCGTAGCGCTAACACAGGCCTTGCCCGTGGGCAGCTCACAAGCAACCAATGGTCCGTGAGGCGACAGTGGGAAAGAGAAAATGAATGGACTGAGCAAGATGAAAGGTATCCCTACAGGTCCTCTGGTGGGAATACACCGAGGTTTCCTTCCCACCTCCCTCCCACGGAACTCCTGCCTCTCACCGGGCACTTGCTGTGCCGCCACCAGCTTCCCGGAGGCTAGTGAACTCCTGAAGAATCTCCCTGTTTCATTTGAACTGAAACGAGAGAAATGTGCAGTCAGTCGGGGGTTGATGGTTGTGCCGCAGAGAGGAAGAGAGAGGAAGACCCGTAAGTCCCTAATGTCGAGGTCCAGGGAGCAGCAAAAACCCCAAGTACCTTTTCGTGTTACTTGGCGGTGGCAGTATTTCCTGGGCTGTACGATTTATTTCGGCATCCCTCCCAAGAAGAGCCCCCAGGAATCCCTCTCCTTACACGTGATCGAAATAGACTTTGTCATTCACAACCTCACAAGCGATTTGAACACAAAGAAGTGATTAGTATACAATATACATGGTATGCCTACAGAGCAGCGAGGTCAATCCATAACCACCTGTTTAGATTGCAAAGAACTTGGCAATCATGGGGATTAGACCACCTGGCGATGGAGACCTACCTGAAGCTGGAGGTGCCTCTGCAGGAACGTAGGGAACATACGCCAGGATGGCTAGGACTGTGGGCAAGACTGGACTGGTGGGTGCCAACTCCAGGACTCTGTGATGGTCAGTTATGTTATTACACAATTAAGCCATGTAAATAGATGGGGACACGCAGGTCAACTGTACAAATATTAGACGTAGATTCCATGAAAGATGTAGATTAGGTATCCCTGTTAATACAAGAGTCTTTGGTGTGGCGCCAAGTCCAAAGTGAAAATATATGAGTTTGTATGCGCAGAGATTAAGATAAGGTGAGAAATTAATGTCTGCTTCTTAATGACCGGGAAAATTTCCAACTACTCATAGAAATTAAACATCTCTGTGCTCTTGTTTATTTGATACATAAATGAAAACCTAGGTTACTAGCACCCTGCAGTGTTCGACTTCAATAGCATTTTCTACAAAGATGTAAAGAAAATGACTGTTGAGCCCTGACCGGTTTGGCTCAGTGGATAGAGCGTCTGCCTGCGGACTCAAGGGTCCCAGGTTTGATTCCGGTCAAGGGCATGTACCTTGGTTGCAGGCACGTCCCCAGTAGGGAGTGTACAGGAGGCAGCTGATCGATGTTTCTCTCTCAACGATTTTTCTAACTCTCTACCCCTCTCCCTTCCTCTCTGTAAAAACAAACAAACAAACAAAAAAACAATAAAATATATTTTAAAAAATGACTGTTGAATTGATGAAAATGAATTGAGTAAGGTTCTATTTATTAAAAACATTTTTCATTAAAATAAATACCATCTCGGTCACCAGGTCCATATTATTCCACTTTTCACCTTTCACAAAGGGGTTACATGTCCTGGGCAATAACATTTATATCTTTTCCGTTAATCACTATTTACTACAATGATTTCTTCCCATAGTTATATCCTTAAAATAAATGGGATACTCAACACCAGTGAATGTGATATTTAGATTGGTAGATGGATTTCATTAAGCACTTTTTGTTTAAATATCTTATTTAAAATATCTTATTGGTGAAATAGTCTCTAGATTCTTACCTGGCTGAGACTATTCTTGGCCTTTTATTTGAAGGACAACCTGAGTGTGTACCAGTTCTGACGGCCTTTGGTCCGCTGTCTTTGGCATTTCTTGTTATTGTAAATAACCTGACTCTCCACCCGCCACCCCCTCATAAAGGTAACTTGTTTTTTCTACCTGGATTTTTCATGATTCCTTATCTGAAAGTACAGCAATTTCACTGGCTGTGTCTTGCTGTGCATTTTCTTGAATGTGTTTATTCTGGGACAACCTATATAATCAAGTATCTCTTTATTTCAGAAAAGCTTTGCTGAACCATGAGTATTGTCTGTTACTTCTTCCTGTTCTGTTCTTAAGAGACAACAATCCACTCCCTCCCGCCCCTCCCCGCACCCACTATGGGAGCCAATAGCAATGGCCAGTTGATAGTCTTTCTCCCCCAGTGGTCCCCTACATTGAGGTGGGTCTTCATGGGGACCCACATTTGAGCCCAGACTGTGTAGGACTCAGCAGGTATGTGTCACTGCTTGCCATATGGGATTTGGAAATTACTTTGACTCATAAAATGGTGTTTCCCCCTTTCCCTTTCATCTTGTTGTGGTGGCTTTTGAAGGGTCTGAGGCAGGAGAAGCGAGCAAAATGCTAGGCACTTTCTTCTTTAATAGAAAGTGCCCATGACCTCGTCGTCGCCTTGCCCTCCTGCTCTGGCAGGGTGCTGACACAGAGTTGGATAACAAATTATAACGCCCCGTATAAGGCGGAAGTCATCGGAAATGACTGCGGCTACAATCAGCTGGAAGAAGTGACCGAGGCCGGCTCGGACCACCGTGATGGAGTGGCCACGAAGAACTTATTGGATAGTTGCCACTGTTTCCTGAATTTCCCACACACAACTCAAGTGAAGGCATCATAAACAACCCATTCCCACTGGGAAAATGGCTGAAATACATGGGTCGTTACAGTCCAGTGATTTTGGTTGTAAGAAGATAGCTATTCGCATTAAGCTTCCAGGGTCTGTCAAGTTTTCTTGTAATTACTCTTACATTTCATGGGGAAAAAGAAATAAAAGGACTTCCAGGATAATGTTGGGGTTTTTCTCACTGATCTTGTTCTTTGTATTCAACACAGAACTGGGCGCCCAAGGTATGATATGTGGGCCCTTCTTTTCTGAGGATACAGGTAAAATCATAGCAAATTATTGTGAAGTTTAGAATTCTGAAATCCTTTTGTCTTAGGTACAAATATTCAAACAAGTCTTTGTTGAACTTGACAAATGCTAAGGAAAAGGATAGACAAACGAAACGGGGGACTGCTTTTGTGCGCTGCTGGTGGGAATCAGCGAGGTACACCCGTTGCGAGTGGGAGCTGGCTATTAACGTTGAAAGGGCATTTCCCGTGAACCCGTAATGTAACTTCCCGAGTTAGACCCGACAGAAACTCATGCCCACATGCACAAGACACAAAGTATTTGCAGCAGCACCGCAATAGCTCCAAATTAGGAACAACCAAACGTCCGCCATCGAGAGCAGAATGGATGAACAAACCACGGTAATTCATAGGAGGACGTGCGTGGGTAGGTCGGCCAGCGGGGACTGTGGCTTCCCTTTGGCGTTCTTTCCCAACCAGCTATGGCGGCGTTGGCTTTTGCTCACTGTAGCACCTGTCCCAGGGGTAACCTTCTGCAGGGACTGACAGGGCCCCGCCTCCCTTAACTTCCCTTAGATCCTGTTCCTTCTCTCACAGATTATAGATTTGTCCTTCTGCAGTTTGATACTGTCTCAGTTTTATTTTTCTGATGTTCCTCGAATTATCTGTCACATTGTTCATTTCTCGCTAGTTTTTTCTTAGGGATATTTCAAGGGTGGGAGTGCCGGCACCGCTGACTCGCAAATCATGAGAATATCTTATATAATAAAAGGCTAATATGCAAATCGACCAAACGTCAGAACGACCAGTCACTATGATGCACACTGACCACCAGGGGGCACACTCTCAGTCAGATGCCAGGCTCACGGCTGGCAAGCACAGCAGCAGTGGAAGGAACCTCTCCCGCCTCCACGGCAGCACTAGGGATGTCTGACTGACAGCTTAGGCCTGCTCCTCTGAGCCGGCAGTCAGACATCCCCTGAGGACTCCCAGACTGTGAGAGGGTGCAGGCTGGGCTGAGGGACACCCCACTCCCCCAGTGCATGAATATCATGCATGGAGCCTCTAGTAAAACAATAGTTAAACATACAAACAAAATAATTGACAAAAGAGTAAATAAGTTGGAAAATGTTTTTAGCTTCTATGGGAAAATGTATTTGTTATTTAAACTAAGGAGGGTCCAAAAAAAATAAATAAATAAACTAAGGAGTGCCAATGAGGTCTCCAAACTTCACTGTGGAAATTTTTCCCAGAAGAAAATATTTTTCCTAGGCAAGCATTAGACGATGGTCAACATCGGTATTCCCAAATAAAATTTCACGTAAAAGGCCGATGAGATGCCTTTTATGCTTCATGGGATGGTACAACAGCTGGCGTGTTGGAGACGAAGGGCCCCACTCACCCATATCGGGTCATGCAAGTCAACACAGTGCTTCCCGCAATTAATTCAGCCGCATTGATCATGGTAGACATAACAGACAGACATGCACACTGACAGACACAGTTACCTGTTGCTCAGAACTCTCCTTCTGGGGATTTAAACTGAGGCCTTTATTTAAAAGTAAAAAGATGATTATTGTAGTATTTGTATAATAGCAACATTTTGCTATCAACCTCAATATTTGAAAAAAAATTAAAATGGAAATAAGTTATAGGATGCAGAACTTAATAATTGTGGAGTTTATGCAACATGCAAGTGCTTGAGCTACAAGCAAATGCCATACTCATTTCTGTGTCAGGAATATAACTCTGTAGAAGTTACATTCTTTTCTGCAACAAAACAATGGAACTCGTTTGCCATATCGGGATAGTAGCATCAATTTAACTGAACAACAATGAAAGAAGCATCCATTGTCAATGTACTGTTATGGAATGTTGCATTGGTAATACTGAAATACTTACGACGGACATGGGTCGTATTAAAGGGCTTTGCCAATGTCAGTCCCAGTCTCTCCCAACCCCAAACTGCCACCTGCCCTCCCCACCCCTCTGAGCCTGTGAGGCTCACACCTGGGTATCCGGGCAGCTGCCCCGCATTCTGCCTGTGTGTGGGGCAGGGTCTCCTTTGCCGCGTCCCCTGGGCATGTGTAGGCTCTTGGAAATCATTGGCCTCCCTATGAAGAGGCCCAACTACTGCTCCGCCTGCCATTTCTAAAAACTCCAGCCCGGACGCGGTGGCTTCTGGGTGTGTAATTCGCCTGTTTCGCAGCCCTCCGCCTGACTCACCCGTGGGTGCAGGTGCTCGCCGCCCGACCCGAGACGGAGCAGGATGTCCTGAGAGCAGAGGTTCCCGGGCGTGTGTCCCCGCCCTGGGACCGGGTGGTGTGGGTTCGCGCTGGCGAGGAGAGCCGTGTGCTGAACTGTGGAGACATAGCTGGAATAGTTGGCATCTGCCGGTGGGTCGGCACATTCCAAGGACACGCTCAGGTGTGCAGTCGCCTGGGCTGTTGCAACCCATCGAAACGGGATTGGAATAATCTCGAGCAGTGCAAAGCTCAGGCACCTCATGAAGCCATTTTCTGTGGACTCCCCGCTTAGCTAATGAATGTGCCCCAACCCCTGCCCCCCAAGTGAATGAACTAATCAGGGTTCTAGATGAGCTACCATGATCGGACTTGTCTCATTTATTCTTTTAATCTTATAACAACCGCTGTAAGCGTGGGCCAGACCCTGAGCTGAGCAATTGACTTCATTTAACCCCCGGGACACAGTTCCGATGTCTATGTGCGGCAGTTACAGCCTGGGGAGTGGAGACCGGAGGGGCTTGGGGCCTGGCCCTGTACGGAGAAGCCTGAGGAAGGGCCGGGCTTGGTAAGTTGCACGGCTCCACCGTGACCCCAGACAGCTTCCTTCCAGAGCCCACGCGTGTCCTTAACCCCCGTGCTGTGTGCTGTACGACCAACGCGGACAAACGAAACTTGGAGAAGTCCAAGCAGAGGGCCCGGCATCCTAGCGCCGACGTACCCTCTTCTCAGAGCGCGTCCCCGGGTCTCGCCCACCTGCCCTCTGCCCGCCTCCGCTGCCTGGGAGGGAAGCTGCCACTACAGGGCCAGGGCGGTGGGGGCGTCAGCGGCTGGGTGGCATTGCTCAGATGCCAGGGGAGATTTTTCCCGGACGCGTCTTCGCCACCTGCCTCGTATCTGTCCCGATGCTGGCATGTTCCCATCGTGTCTCATGAGGTAGAGGACTCAGTTGACACCATGGTCCTAGGGGCCCCGGCCTTCCTGAGTCAGTGAGGGGAGCCCAGGGCAGGCCAGGTCTCTAGACCAGATTTACTTATTTTAAAAAATAGATATTTTCATCGATTTCAGAGAGAAAGGGAGAGAGAGATAGGAACATCAATGATGAGAGAGAATCATGAATTGGCTGCCTCCTGCACGCCCCACAGTGTAGATGGAGCCCACAACCCAGGCATGTGCCCTGACCAGGAATTGAACGGTGACCTCCTGGTTCATAGGTCGACGCTCAACCACTGAGCCACACCGGCTGCACTATCTGGAATTTTTTAAGGAGGTGGTTCCCCTAGCTTGCCGACACCAGCAGGTGCAAAGTGACTGCAGCTCTGAGCTGAAGTGCCATCAAATCAGGTGACTGTCAGGTTATTGCGTCTCTCTCTTTGGTGTTGGAAAAGCAGAGAACAGAGAGGTGCCTCCACGCCCCCAACACCCCCGGCATTTTATCCGAAGGGCCCATGTTTTAACACTGCTTGCTGTTTTATCACCACCACCACCACCACCACCACCACCCCACCCTGTACAGGTAGAGAGAAACCCCAGGTGAGCTAATAGGCAAGAAACTAAAACGACCACTCATCGAGGAGTCTCTACTGAACAGAACGAGGGGAAGGGACAGAAGGGAACTTCTAGGATAGAACCCTAACAACATGTCACATAACCTACAAGAGTGAGCGAGTTTAAGGAGCCGCACCAAATGTTACCCCCATTTTGAAAAACGGGATTTGTCTTTTCCTCACTGACCTGCAGTTCTCCGTATGTTGTGGACGCGAGCTCTCCGTTGGAAATATGTGATACAAGCATCTCTTCTCTGCAGCTTCTGTGTCATTCCCCTAATGGCACCTCGAAGAATAGATTTTCTTTTTTTAAATTTTACTTTTCAATTACAGTTGACACTCGATATTATTTTGTAAGCGTGTCCGGTGCACAGCACGGAGCTGAGACAATCACCTGCGTCACAAAGTGGTCCCCCGACATGTCAAGTACCCGCCTGGCACCACACGCCATTATTACACGGCTATTGGCCATATTCCCTGTGCTGTGCTGCGCATCCCCGGGACTATGGTGTAATTACCAATCCGTGCTTCTCAACCCCTAGCAATAGATTGTCTTAAGTCAATGTGGTCCAATTTGTTGTATTTGTGTGCGTGTCCCGTGTAAGAAATATTTGCCTCCATAAATCTTGAAGATGTTCTCATCTGGGTTCTCCTATGAGATTCATGGTTTCGCCCTCCATGCCCCTCCACGGGACATCTGGAACTGATCTTGTTCTGTGCGGTGAGGTCGGAGCCAGGATGACATGTTTCTGTGAGGGTCGGCACTGACCCCGCCCTGGTGGCTGTGCTCCCGGGGTCTGTTTCTGGGCTCTCTGCTCCCCAGTCGGCCGGCTGCCCGTCTTTATCACGTTGCGTTATCTTTATTGTGAGCTGTGTCCTGGGCCTTGACCACGGGCAGCGCCACGCCTCCGCCCCGCTTTCCCCATCAAGGCTGCCTTCCCCGCTCCTGACCTTCTGTATTTCCCAGTAAATTTTAGAATCAACTTGTCAACGTCCACACACGTTCCCACACCTGCTGGGGTTCGGGGGGATTTCATGGCTGCGATAGATCGCCTGGAGGAAAACGGTGACATGTTTACAATATTTCATCTTCTGGTCCACGGATACGATAAATCAGTCTTTATAACAACAACGCTTTGCAGTTTTTTCTGTAGAGGCATTGCATATATTTTGTTTGACTTATTCCTGGGTATTTGATGTTTTTCAATGCCTTTGCCTATGGTATCTTGTTAAGTTTTTCATTGGTTGCTGTTGCATAAAGATGCGATTTTTTCTAACACCTTACAAAAGCAGTTACACATACAGAAAATGCAAACAAGTGTGCAGCGAGCACTCCCACGCAGCCACCCGGATTGAGTGTCAGAAGTCACCTCGTTTACTTTTGCACAGTCATCCAGTGGCCACTCGCCCAGCATCGGAAGGCGGGAGACCGCGTCCAGCGCACGGACACGCGGGCAGAACCGGAGGTCCGTCTTACTCAGTTGACCCGTTCAAATGCTCATCTCCTTTAGCAACACCCGCAGGGCCAGGCCCGGAACAACACTTAGCCCCGCGGCCCAGGCGAGTGGACACCTACAGTGACCATCACGGGGAGAAGAGCCCAGACCTCGGAACGCAGTGCTCAGGACGCCCTCCCTGCCCTGCCATTAGCAGCTGTGAGCCTCAAGAGCACCTACCTGCCTGCCAGACACACTTTTATGAGAAACCTCACCCGCCGTCATGCTGTGTCGGCTCCAGTTCCCACCCCGGGGTGCTCGTCGTTGAGTCCCTTTCGTCCGCGGAGCCCCATGGCTCTAAGAATTCTGACCAAGTCCAGGGTCTTTGGGAGGAATTTTTTTTCCTTGCTGGCTCACCAGGTCCCATCACCTTAAAAAAAATCTTTATTGTTGAAAATATTACACATGTCCCCCCTTTTCCCTCATTGACCCCCTCCAGCCCACCCCACCCCACCCCACCCCAGGCCCTCACCACCCTATTATCCATGTCCATCGGCCATGCATATATGAACACAAGGTCTTTGGCTGATTACCTCCCACCCACCCACCCTCCCCCGCCTTCCCTCCGAGATTCTGCACTCTGTTCCATGCTTCGAGTCTCTGGGTCCACTCAGTTCATCAGTTTATTTTGCTATTTAGATTCCACATATGAGTGAGATCATGTGATACTTGTCTTTCTCTGACTGGCTATTTCTCTTAGCATAACACTCTCCAGGGCCCTGCACGCTGTCTCAAAGGGTAAGAGACCCTTCTTTTTCACTGCTGCATAGTATTCCACGGTGTGAATGTGCCCCAGCTTTTTCATCCACTCGTCCGCCGATGGGCACGTGGGCTGTTTCCAGGTCTTACCTGTGTAGATTGGGTTCCACCACTTTGGGACTGTCTTTGTCCGAGTCTGAGCCCACGTCCTGGTAAAGGGCACAGGGAGACCTTCCAGGCGAGAGCGTGGCTTCCGGGAACAACGTGAGCACCGATGGGACTCTGCCCGCAGTCCTGTTGGGCCGCTTTCTGGTGGGAGATTCTACATGACCTGCCGCTGACAAGGGAGAGGCTGGGCGAGAGGAAGAAGACATGTCCCTTGTATCGTTGGCCCTTCAGCCGTGCGTCTCTTCTTAGAGCTCCAGGCTGCTCAGGGCTGTTTTTGCAGCTCACTGTCCGGCTGGCAGAGATGCTGCCATGGCCCCGGGGAGTTGCCGGGGGCGGGGGGCAGTTTCTGTGTCTGTGCCTTGCACGCTGAGCCCAGGGCAGGGGGGCAGTGTGAGAGGGAGGGGGCTGGGGGGGAGGGGCTCGGCGCCAGGATGGATACTCAGAGCGGAGCCGACTCACTGCCCAGCCGCCACCCGGCTATGACCTTTGGGCTGGTTGTTTAAACTTCTAAAAGCTCTAGGATCAGAGCTTTCATTTCAGATGTGGTTCTTTGATCGTTTTTTAAAAATAGCTATTTTTTTTCAAACACAAGCTCTGAGATGGGAAATGCCATCTCTACTGTACAGGTCTTATGCAAATGATAATAATTAATAATTAATGATAACAGCTCAGGGTCTTACATCATTTGCCTTAGTTCACCCACTTGGCAAGACGCAGGGCTGGGGCTGGGCTCTCTCTGGTCCTTGCCATGCGGGAGCAGGTTCATGTTGTTGTCTGACCATGAACTGACGAGAAAGGGAATGACATTTTTCTTATCAGCTTTGCTCCTTTCTGCTGCACAACTGTTTTCCGCAGCAGTTTTCACTGCCCATGGCGACTTCCAGGGGCTCACCTGTCTCCACATCCTGGCTCCGCCATCCTGGCTGTGGGTCCGTCACGGGACAGCGAGAGCCCACTGCCCATGGCTCCTTCCACTCGGACGGCAGCCCTCCAGGCAGAGCGCACCGGCCCTGCCCAGCAGCCCACAGTCAGCTTCCCCGTGGCAGCCACCCCACAGCAGGCAGCCAGGAGGCGGCAGGTGGCACAGCAGGGTAAATGAACATGAATCCCTTTCCTTTCTTCAAATGCAACAATGCTTTGTGGGAAGGCGCCTACTTTCTTGCTGCTGTTTCTAGATGGTTCTTCTGTCCCTCATCTCATTGGATATCTCGGTGACATCTGGCACTGCGCCCGCTTCCCGCTGTTGAAAAGTGTCTTGTGTGTTGGTTTTCTTGTTGCATTCTCTCCCCTTGAGGACTTTTATTTTTCACCTTCCTTTTCGGCCTCTCATTTATTTCTCCTGGAGCACTGGTATCCCCAAGGCTGTCTGCATTGCCCCCTCCTCCCCCATGACCTCATCCAAACCTGGACGACTGCTTCTTGACTCGTCTCTTCCAGGAAACAGAGCCTGAGGAAGGACACGTAGAGCTGAATAGCAACGCCTTTCCGCCCCTGATGAGTAACAGGCCCAGGCCTCACTGGAACTGTCAGGTTACTGTCCGCCAACGGCCCCAAAGGGAGGCGGGCTGACATGTGTGCCTGGCGATGGAACTACATAACATCGCCCATGTATTTTATTGATAAAAACTTGAACTTGAGCCCAACGGGTGTGGCTCAGTGGTTGAGCATCAACCCATGCACCAAAGAGTCAGTGGTTTGATTCCCGGTCAGGGCACATGCCTGGTTGAGGGCTTAATCCCCAGTAGGGACATGCAGAAGGCAGCTGATCAATGATCCTCTCTCATCATTGATGGTTCTCTCTCTCTCTTTCTCTCTCCCTTCCTCTCTCTCTAAAGAATCAATAAAAACATACCTAAAAATATTTGAATTGAATTGGATCAAAAATCTAGATTTAATTACGAGTTTCTAGGAAATATAGAGGATAGTACACAGTCAACAACATCTAGAATATGTCCAATTCTACAGGACTAGCAACTCACTATCTTCAACAAATAAATTGGGGAAGAGGAAGGAAGGAAGAAAGGAAGGAAGGGAGGGAGGGAGGGAGGAAAGAGAGACAAGGAGAGGGAGGGAAGGGGAGAGAGGCAGAGAGACAGCAAGAGAGAGAGAGAGAGAGAATAGATTTAAAATAAACCTTAAGAGAGATTCTTGATTGAAACAAACATTAAAAAAAGTCCAAGTGCTCATTGGGGGTATGTGTACACTAACTGGATATTGGATAACATTAAGAAATTGTTAATGTTTTAGCTGTGATAAAGGTATTGTGGTTATTTTTTTAAACCCCAAAAACCTTAACTTTTGAAACATTTAAGGGTGAAAAGAGATAATGGCTGATATTTAGTTCAAAATAATCCAGGCTGGGGCGTCGGCGAGGATATGGGTCAAACGAGACGGGCCATGGGACGGGGCTTCCGCAGCTGGCGAGCAGGCCTCCTGGAGGGAGTGACGGTGACCGCGTGCTGAGCCGTGTGCGTCCGAGGGCGGATGGTGCTGGTGGGGACACACGGGCAGGGCCCTGAGCGGCTCCCTGTGGAGGACGTGCCGGAGGCCGGCAGGGAGGGGGGTGTCTGGAGGGCAGAGTGCTGAGAGCAACAGAAAACGGACTGGGAGGGAACGTGACCTCAGGCCTGTGAGGCCTGCGGGCCACCGATGAGATTCGGCTTTTACGTCTCATCCCTTTGGGAGCCATGGGCGCGCTTTGGGCGAGGGCATCTCCTCACTGACTCACGTGTGGAGCGCCGTGTGGACTGCAGGGCGGGCGGGCGGAGGCACAGGTGGCGGTGAGGCCGTGGGCTGGGGGCCCTCCCGATAGCTCAGGAGTGTCCGCTGGCTCACGGCGGGGGCAGCCAGGACGAGAAGCGTGACTTCTGAACGTCCAGTGAAGGCAGAGCGGACGGAATTGACATCACGTGGTGAGAGAAACACAGGCGTCAAGGATGAGGTGACTGATCCTGGCCTGGCACGTAGTGGGCACACAGCACACACCTGCTCAACTCTGACCTGTTCTTCTTCACTGAACTGCGGGCTGGCATCCCGTCTTCCCCGACGTCACAGCGTCACAGCTCGCGGGGTCCTGGTCGCCTGCAACAGGAGGGCCCCCGACAGTCCTCCCACGCCGAGGGCTTTACTGGGCCGGGCTGCGTGCTGAGGGATGAAGTGCTCGCTGTGCCGCTGGGCTCTCTGGGGCGCCCTCGCCAGTTCCCAAACCCCCGGCCACGGGGCCACGAGCCTCAGCTGCGGAGCCGGTGGGACCCAGCCCAGAGCCCGGGCGCCTGGCGGCTTGCTGCGCAGGAGCAGGCGGGCGCGGTGGGAAACGGAGACCGCAGAGGCACATGGCCCGCTGTGTGCTGGCTGCCAAGCCCCCCCGGGGAAGGGCACAGCCATTGTCTGCGGGGAACAAAGACGGATCTTGCCCCAAACGAAGAATAGGCAGACCCGGGCTCTCGGGCTCCGTCAGACGGCCTGTGTGCGGAGGGTACAGATGAAGGGCCGCGGGACGGCCAGGATTCCGGCCGGACCTCCTCCGCCTCCCGGGACGCCAGCTGCCGGGTTGACTGCCGTCCAATGTGCCGGCGGGGAGAGGAGGCAGCCAGGCCTGGCGGTTGGATGGCCCTTTGTTCCTGCTTCCAGGAGGGCAGACGAGACTCCCGCTGCCCCGGGCTGCTCAGGCCATGGCACAGGCCCTCGGGCGCCCTGTCGGCGACCCCAGCACTACCCCTCGCCTGGCCAGCCTGGCGTGGCTCCCCTCACGCCTCAGGGAGCAAACTGAACATGTCCTTGTGCCACAGCAAATACAGCAGCCGCCCGTGTGTGTGCTGCTTGTAAAGGGCTGCTTGGTGGTCTGACTGAGAAAGTGGGAAAAAGACTTCATATGTCATGTGCCAGTCACATGCCAACCCAAACTGAAGCATATGTGTGGACTCTGCATTCTGCTTGGTGAGCTTGGAAAGTATGCATCTCCCCGTCTTTTCCACGGGGCTATGTGTGTGTGTGTGTGCGCGCGTGCACATGCATGTGTGCACATGTCCATGTGTGTATGCGTCGATGCATCTAGGTGCACATGTGTGTGTTGTATGTGTGTTGGCACACAGCTTCCATGCTCTGCCAGGTACCTTACAACTCTGCCTTGTCCTCTGCGTCCTGCTGGGCAGAGCCTCACAATCCGCTGGAGGCGATTGCTCAGGTTTCCTCAGCTCTTCCAGGCGTGTGCATGGCCGTTGATCATCTGTGGGGTTCGCTGGAGCTGCACACGGCTCCTGTGGGCACCCCCTCCCCAGAGCTACCTTTGAAGCCCTTTGGTTACCCTATTGCTTACCCACCTGCTTCCCGAACCCCAGCAGCCACAGGTGAAGGTTCTGACGAGCATCCCTGGAGAAGACCCTCCCCCCTTGGCACCCGGTGACCCTAAGTCAGGTGAATGAAGGCAGCCTTGCAAGTAGGTCTCCCGAGGCTGTGGGCAGGTCAGAGAATGGCATCCCTGGGCACGGGGCTCCCCCTCCACTGGCTGCCAGGTGTGTACCGCCCGGGCTGCGCTGTCGGTTCCCCGGGCTCCTGCAGAGTGGGGCCGGGCTGGGGAGGGCAGGGGCACAGGAACAAGGTGCATTGAAGCGCCACACAACCCGCCGCTATTCCTCCGGACAGCCCGCAGTTTGCCTGGAAGGAACGCTCCCAACATTGCTGGAACATTCCGGTTCATTTCCTGAGTTCTGAAAATATCACTTCTGCCCATTTTTGCCTTCGTCCTCGTTGTGTTAAGGAGAAGAGACTTTTTGCCATTTCCTTCCTCTCCCACGTCCACGGACATCACTCACTGAATTCGTATTTGGTGATAAAATCTACATTAAGTTACACGTCTCCAATGCCACAGTCGCTGCCTCACCGGGCCACCAGCTGCAGGAGGCCGCCCGTCCTGGCGCTCCAAGGCCTTCAACCGCATCCCCAGTGTCCCGAACATGAGCAGGACTGAGGTGGGTGATTGACAGGCGTGGTCAAAGCCAGCGAGCTCGGAACTGCACCCACAGACTCCCGACACCCCAGCACACCTCCCCCTCCAGAATGGGCGCATCGCAGGGGCGCAGGTGTGGCCACCACAGGGACAGGGCGTCCCCGGAGGCGCCCACAGCCACGGGGCGGGCGTCAGGCTCCTGCGCAGCCCCTGACGGTCGGTCGGGCCACATTCTCCGTGACCTCGCTCCTCCCCCAGGGTGATGTGACTCTGAACGAGAGGGAGCGTTTTAAACGTTGTTGCTTCTCTTGTCAGTGAAAACGCGCACACACGTACACACAGGGATGAAGTCAAAATACACAGCAGGTCCCGTGTCTTCGGGCAGGAACACAGACAAGGCCTTTATCCAGTTCCAGCGCATGTTTCAGTTGTACTGTCAGGTCGTCTTGAGTTGTTCACAGAAAGAGATTAACTCCCTGGATACGGACAACCAAATAGCACACATCCCCCCTGCCTCCCAGCCCGTCCAGCCTCCTTCCAGCACATGCAGGGCTGAGGAGCGTATGCATACACACTCAGTCCTCTGAGGGCGCCCTGAGAAGGGGGGGGGGGGGGGGACGGACTGCGTTTCCTTTGAGGGGATCTGGCTCATACCTGAGCTATTTTTTTTAATTGATAAATTTTTAAAAACATGGTTTTATTGTTGATAGTATTACAGATATCTCCCCTTTCCCCCCTCCCCACTCCTCAATAGCCCCTCCCCCCAGGACTTCACCGCCCTATTGCCCGTGCCCATGGGCTGTCATATGGGCATATAAACTCTTTGGTTTCTCTCTTCTCATCCCCCCAGCCCCACACGGGGGTATGTCAGTCTGGCCCATGCCCCCCGGCATCACCCTGAGCTTTGAGAGCAGGAAGTTGGACAGACACAGGGAGAGTCTCTGCCTGGACTTATCCCGCCCTGAGGGCCACGCCCGCCCCCCTCCCCCTCCAGAGGCGCAGCCCAGGTATGCACAGGGCGGGGCCCAGGCTGATCTCAGCTGAAATCGGGAGTGACTGTTCCCAGCCTCTCTGGGCGGCACTGTTTCTTCTTACCGGCACTTCCCTATCACCTAGCCCCCCACCCCCTTTTTAAATGAGAACTGTTTCCCGTGGAGAGATTGGAGGTGTTCGTCATTTGTCAGCTCCACGAAAGGGGAAGGCTTCCCAGACCATTTGTGTCCAGGTGTGACAGATGGAGCAGTGCGGTTGGGGCCGAGGGTCCTTCCCGTCACCCTCACCGCCCGGTGCCTTCCCAGGCAAACCCGAGTGTGTGCACCTCACACCCGGGTGCGAGCGGACTCCCCACCCTCCTTCCCAAGGGCAACGCGGGTGTCGTTTATGACACAGCACCCGCCACACAGAGATCCTCACCTTCCCCGAGGCCCGGGTCTCTCTGCTTCTCGCAACCCCATGCCCCTTCAGCTCCAATATGTTCGCACTTCGATCAACCTTGTTTGGTTCTAATCAGTAACCCTCCTGCTGGCCCGGCCACTGCCCTTGCCCAGCGCCAGCTCCTCCCCACCAGCCGTCCCTCCTGTCGTCGCCACCCCCCATTTCCTGGGTCAGCGCTGCCATCTTCACCACCTCCGGCCCGCGATCTCTCTCCGTCCTCTCATTACCTCACTCTACACTGAGCTCTTTCGACAGCATCCTGGCATCTGACGACGGAACCACCTGGCACACATCGGCCTTGCCCGTCGCAAAACTCTGGTGCAGGGAGCCAGGACAGAGGCTGGC